GCATTATCATCATATTACAGGTAGTCCTTCGCTTACAACCATTCATTCAGCAACTGTTCAGAGTTACAGCAGTGCTGGAAAAAAGGGGCTTATGACCAGTCCCCAAAGTTATGGCCGTTGCAGCGCCTCTGTGGCCATGTAATCAAAATTCATGCACTTGACAGCCCACCCACACTTATGACCACAGGGGTGCTTCAGTTCCCCCACCCACCTATCCCCCCCATCTATGCCCTTTTGGCCCCCTGCACTCTGTGGCCCCTGCCACCCTAGCTGACTTTCACTGTCTTCTTGCTCCCGCTGCTAACCAAGCATTCCTGCTGGTCCTTTGTGAGGCAGCCGCTGGCCGCACAAGGCTTTCTTCCCAAGGTCGTAACCGGTGGTTTCCTTGAGAGACCTGGGGAAGATGGCCTCACGGAGCCAGCAGCTGCTTCGTGAAGGGCCAGGGCAGGCGCACCTCATCAGCAACGGAAGCAAGAAGACAGCGAAGGTCAGCTGGGGATACAGAGCGCAGGGCAGCAGGGGCCTTGGGATGTAGGGTGGTGAGGTGACTGCAGCTGGGATCAGGCTGGGGCGGCTTTGTGCTGTACTTGCTGGGACTTCCTGGGCACTGTGGCTTTGCACTGCACTGCTGGTGCTTCCCGGGACACTGCAACTTTGCGCCATGCTGCTGGGCCGGGGTGGCTGAGGCTTCCAGGAGCAGCTGCAGCTCAGAGGCTACTTGCGCATGGTTCTAGGGCTCCTTGCCACCCCACAAGGCAGCGTGCAGGACGGACAAAAGGGGAGAGATGGGGGGAATAGGCAGTTGGGGTGAGTTGAAGGGGAGGCAGTCCCTTACCTTACCAAGGCTCTGGGCTGGGGGGGAGCAAGCTGGGAATGGCTTGGATTGGGGTGGATCCTCACTTAACAATCCATGTGTCTTAGGGTTATGACAGCAACTGGGACTGCTCGGGATTGCCGTTGCTAAGTGATGTGGTCATGTGACATCGCGCTTTATGACCCCATCACTTAGTGATGGAAATTCTGGTCCCAATTGTGGTCATAAGTTGAGGACTAACTGTATGGGGAAGGCAAGACTCAAGGCTGCTGGTGTGAGTTTTCCTTCCTTATGGTTTTGTGTTCCCTGGGACTTTAAGAGAGTAAAAGACCACACTTGTGTCACCAAGAGAAACACTGAAGGCACAGGGTGTGGGTGTTGATAAAAGAAAGGAAAGGAAGCTGTGTTGGAGAGCTGAAGGAAAAGCTGACTGTGTGTGGAGGTGGCAAAACTGACCATCAACAGTTTGGTGGAGAGAGCAATGAGACTGAAGCTGAGTGAAGAGTAGCAAAGCCTAACAGCCTCACAAGCCTTCCAAAGATGGAGAGCGGCTACAGCTGGCCAGCAGTGAGTAACTGGTTTCCCTCCTTCCTACAAACTGACAAGGAACGAGTGATGGAGAAGCAGATCAGTAAAAGGGAGGAACTGCCAGGCTACTTCAACCTACAGCAGAACCTACTGAAGTACAGGGGCTGGAGAATACAGAGCTAACATTAAGCCCTGAGTAAAAGGAACAGAAGTCCCAGTCCTTAAAGGAAAGGGCTAGGGAGAGAACTACCTCTGTTGCTAGGGAAGGTGCGCAGTTAAGAACACAGGGCAAAAGGGAAATTTGTAATCTTGTTAAGTATTGTGACTCACAGATGTACCATTAGGCACAAGTAAGTTACATATAATAGGCTTAACACGTTAGCTGTGTATGTTCTGTATGGTAAACCCACCTCTTGCAAATACCAAAACAAAAGCATCGAGCCTCCTGGTCTGTGGTTGGTACCATACCTTAGTGTAACCCTGCCATGTGCTACATAATGGTATTGGCACAATCCACATTTTTATGTTGCTTCTGAGCCTCACAGAGCGGCAAAAAAACTTATCCATAAAGTACACACAACCCACCACTGACTGAGAGCTTATCAAGGCAGTACCCAGAAACATCAAACACATCAACTGCTATGAAGAGGTTCTAGCATCCTAAATCTAATTGCTTGCCTTGATTTTCTATCTGTTTTCATCACATTTTTAAAAGTTGGACCACATCTGCAGGTTTCATTCTATGAGACTAAAGGCCTTTGATGTTTTTTTTAATCATTTTTAAAACGCTACAGTTTTCAGTAACAGAGTTCAGAAAATGCTTGATTACCTTAAAGTCTGAGCAACAATGTTTTCACATATTGTTAGGCAATGATTCACTCGGTCTTTCTTGGATGTGGACAATTCTTTCTTTCTAAAATAAAGACACCACAGTTAAATTATGCCCACATACCACATTCTTGTTTTCTAGCCACAAACCCACTGCTGTGGGCCAGCTGGCCTGCTTTTTGCAACAGGGAACCGTCTTAAAACCAATCAGATTTTAATATTTTCTTAAGAGCTTTGTATAAAAAAATGAATTCAGCTTAGAGATAACTGTAAATTTATACACAGCTGTGGCCCTTTTAAAACCTACCATAGGATTAAGGAAAAGAAGTTTTACTCGCTAACCACTCTGCAGCGAACTGTTCCCAATCCAGCACCTTCGGCAAGTCCATCTTCTGAGCTAGCCATGATTTGGCTTTACACAGTCCGCTAAACCAACTCCTTACAGCTCAGCACAGCTTGGAGCTCTCCCTGCTCTCAACAGTTCCCGACCCAGCTCGGGTTCCGGCCTGAACGAGATCCCAGTCACTGTTACCTCCCCAGCCCAGGATTCCTCCAATTTACTAGGCACCACTTTCACCTGTTCATTGAGCCCGAGAATCCATCGGTCTCCTACTCCTCTAACGGCCCAGGCAGCTTGGTGGAAACAGAGGGAGCTTATCCGCCAAAGCTGAAAAAGGGCCATCTGGCCACCGACCTTCTGTGGGTGTCCGGAATCAAAACTGCATCCAGAAGGAGGCCCAAACTGCTATGCTGTTCCCTAAAGGGGAGGGCCGTCTCATCCGGAACACCTGTTCCTCCCAAAGACGCCCCTCCTCTGGCCCCACTGACTTTCAGTTTACTCTTCCGCCTCGAGTCGCTTACAGCCTGGGCGTAGAGACAGACCCTGGAGACCCCCACCCTCGAAGTCGTGGCGAACCACAGCTGAGTGCCCTCCGCTGGCGCCAAAGGGGCGCTTCAAAACCCCATCCACAAGCTAGAACTTGATGGGTCCTCGGGGTCAATTCCTGGGGGCAGAGCGCAACTGCTCCTGCGGCTAGCCAGCGCTAGGTTTGCCTCTCCTTTGGGAGCTTCAGGCCGCTTTGTTTTTCTCCCCACTACCCCGTGGGGCAGCATCTGGCCGAGGGAGCCAGCGAGTTTCCTCAACCGCTAGGCCAGACTACCCCATGCAGGTGCTCAGGTAAGGCTTTTATCCAGGCGGGCCGCGCCCCAACGGAAAGGCATCCGGACAGCTGATTCCCCACCACCTCCTCGACAACCCGGCCCGAAAGGACAAGCCGGAGGCTACGCGAAGGTTGCCAAACCCGGCCGGCCTCAGGGGCGGTTCTTCAGGGGAGGGTGCGCCGCGCCTTCACCAAGGCGGGCGGAAATCCCCCGGCCCTGGAAGAGGCGCCGACTACCGCCCGGGCAGCCGCCCGCAGCCCGGCCG